GAAACTTCTTTAAACTTTTCTTTGGTTCGAAATCCAGTTGATTTGAAGCAAAAAAGGGAGAGAGAGTGTGAGAGAACGAGAAAGTGAGAGAGAGTGGTGCACGGGAAGAAAGGAAAAGAAAAAGAAAGAAAAGGGAGAAAAGAAAAAGAAAAAGAAAAAGAAAAAGAAAAGAAAATAGACAGGTACTAACATTTAAAGGAAACGGTCCAGAAATGCGCCCATACACACTTCTGGGTTAAAATAAAAAATTACTGAGAATAATTTAAATACCTTGGAACTATTTAAATTACACGTCAGAAACATTTATTAATCAAAACTCAATTAATTAAATCAGATTAGGCACACTAATAATCCCAATTACCTTAATTAATCCCAATTAATTCTGCAGGGTGTTACAGTTCATTATAATTCCAATAGCTAAAAATCAAGCTATGGTGTCAACAAGTTTTTCTTTCGAAAACGTGCCCTTTCTTTAAAACATTTGCAAGGCCAAAACTCTTTGAAAATAGGCTAACAAAGAAAGGGATCAGGAATATCCTACCTCTCGGATGTCAAACCTGTAGCTAACTTCTTGTCACCCTAACCTCCGCTTTCCTTAAAGCTTTGATACTCGATCTTCTCCACTAGCTTTATGACAAAAGCAATATCTTAGGAAGTATTTCTCATTCCTAAAACGAATTAAACTCAATCATGTTTAATTATTTTCTATTAGTGTGCCTTGACTCAAATCTAAGTTTCACAAACGGTTTTATAATCAGTTTGGGGGTCCTTTAAAGATTTAAATCCAATTCATGGGTTTGGTTTCCTATTTAATTTCAGTTTAAAAACAAGTTTTTTAAAGAAATTTTGGCAGCATGCCGGCATAAATAGAAAAAATACCAAACCTGCAATTCAAGTTCAATTTCAAAATAATATCTCCAAAATCCATCAAAACCAATTTCTAATCAATTCAACAAGTCCAATAACTGAAAACCCCCAAATTTCATTCAATTCTAACAACAATTTTTTAAATCCAAATCCTAACTCAAAATGATTCAAATCTAACAAAAACTAAACTTTCTCAAGCTTACAATTTGAATCAAATAGTGGGTTTCAAGGGGTTTTACCTCAAATTAGTTGATGGAGCTTCGTTTCCCTTGGTTTCTCTCATTTTCATTTTTTTTGTCTCTTGGCCAAACTGCCGAGAGAGAGAGAGAGAGAAACTCAAAGAGAGCAAGGGAGAGAGAGAGAGGGGCTGGCTGGAGAGAGAGAGAGCCCGGAGGAGGTGGCCGGCGGTGGAAAAAAAGAGAGAGAGGGAGGTGGTTGGTGGTGGCATGGGGAACCAAAGAGGAAAGAAGAAAAAGAACATGTGAGAAAGAGAGAGAGAGAGAGGGGGGCTGGGCTGCACGAGAACTTAATGTTTACTGGACATTTTGTCTGTTTCGAAAGAGGGAAAGGAAACAAAAGAAAAAAGAAAAAAGAAAAAAGAAAAAGGAAAAAGAAAAGAAAAGAAAAGGAGAAAAAAAGAAAAGGGGGAAAAATTGGAAATATGGGAAAAATGAAAATGCATTAAAATTTAAGTGTATTTCCAAAAACATTTGGGGTGAAATTATAAATACTGAAAATAATTTAAAGTCCCTTGATTAATTATAAAAATCAAATTAGACACACTAATAACTCACAATTTAGCCTAATTAAACATGTTTAATTCTGGAGGGCGTTATATTCCTGAAAGGGAAAATTATTTAATTCTTAAGAATGATTTTTCCTTTGGCTCTCTTGTGGTTGGAAGGAGTTCAAGAATGCCAAGAGGAGATTGAATGATGTGTGCCCACCCGTACTCTGATCATGGAAGTGAGAAATAGCAAAGAAGACCAGTTGGTTGAGGCTCTTCCAGTTGCTCTTTGGAACGCTTTGATCTGTCAGACGTGTTGTTTCCAAAATTTCTAAAGGTATGATTTAGATCTTTAGTATTTATGTTATATAGCATCATGAACATGTTCTTGATTGGCTTTGGTTATTTGTTCATGATTATGCTATGTGCATAGATTTGTGATAAAAAAATATCTCCTTTATGCTTTAATTGATATTTTAGAGAGATGGCACTCTAGGGTTTCTATATTTTTTGTTATCATGAATATATGGTGAATGGATGATTAAATATTTATTATTGATTATTATTTATAAATTATCAATGGTTTTTTATTATTTAATTTTTTACCGGTTATGGTTCCTTAGAGTTTAGATTGATTGTATAGGAATTTGTTCTTGGCAATGTAATTAGATATACGGCATATCATTGCCATTAGGGTTTATTTTATTTTCTTTCATAGAAATTTTGTAAACCGGAAACGGTATAGGAATGTTTCATGTAAAATTCTTGGAGGAGATTTATCATGGATCTTGAAGATGATTCTTGAAGATGAAGGATGTAAAGGTATATAATTTTTCTTGGTTTATAAAATTATTTTGTGTTTTTGAATAAATTGAAAAATTACTTTGATTTCTATTTTTTTTTTTTTGGATTTTGGGGACAATTTTTTGAAATTGTCAAAAATCTAAAAAATTCAAAAAATCTGGGTTACTGTCACACAGACACTGGTCGACCTCTCCGGTCAGTCGGTTAGTGTAAGGCGGTCGACCGGTGGAGTATAATTGCTCTGTCACCGGTCGACCGGACCTAACATGGTAGTGCACGATTTTGCAGGTTTTTGAGATTTTTTCAAGAAAACATGAAAAATAATTTTATGATAACCATAATTTGATCGTGATGAAGAATTCAAGGACAGCAGGGAAGATTCAAGATGAAGGATCGATATATGTTTTGATTATTCTTAGTAATCTTTATTTTTTTTCTTTACTCTAGGATGGAACCATAATATTACGGTTATTATTATTATGCTTGCTGCTTAACTTAATTGCTTTGTATGATTGCATATAATATGATTTGCTATATATGTGATAACATGTCATGTAGAATAGGGACTGTTGCTCATTAGAATTGTTCATGCATACTTTTAACATAAAACCTTGTTTTCCAAAAGATTGAGTGGGTGAGGGTTTTTGAAGAAAAGACCCATGACCTCCATCGTTGGTTCGTAAGTAACACATGGTGATACCGACCCTTAGGAAGGGATTCATTATGTACCGGTGTGGATCTCCGAGAGGATAATTTAATTGAACATATTTTATGGTTGTACACCCCTAGGTGACAATTATAAAAAAGGATCAAATAGTTGAAACGATGGTTATGCACATAAGATTAATTTAATTATTAATCTCCTTTAGAAGCTATGTTAATTAAATTAATGGCCAAGAAAAATGATTATCAATATATATTGGACAAAGATTGATCCTGATGGTATATATTGATTGGAGGGGATCTGTGTTTCCAATTAAAGTTTGCATGATCTCCCCTAGGAGACTTACAAAACTTTGAGTTGGGAATTATCGTTGTAAGGTTGTGATGTTTTCAAGATTTTGACACACAAACATATTGGTTGCATTATAATATGTATATATGTTTGATTACTAAATATTTATGCAAGTTTGCTTATATTAGATTTATGAATGTTTATTGTAGATCAAAATATCTGCTAGCACATTATCATCGATACTTAACAAACAGACTTTAACTGGCGAGAATTTTACCGATTGGAAAAGGAACCTAAAGATCGTCCTAACCTTTGAGATACTAAATTTCGTACTAAATACACCTTGTCTTCCGGAGCCACCTGTTGATGCTCCTAATGAGGTTTTCCTAGCATATCAATGCCGAAAGGACTCTGATGATATGGCTCGATGTTAGATGATGATGAGCATATCCATTATGCTTCAAGCACAACATGAAGATTACATAACTGCTCGTCAGATTATGGATAATCTTGAGGACATGTTCGGCAGCCAAGCCGCTGAAAAATGTCGGGAAGCCCTAAGTAATCTCATTAACTATAGACAAAAGGCTGGGTCTTCCATAAAAGGAACATATGCTGAAGGTGATGGGTTATTTGGCTGACGCTCAGACCAATGGGGCTGACATCAATGCTGAGTCTCAATTTACTATGATCTTTGAGACTTTGTCGAAGGATTATATTTTGTTTAAGGCAACGTTCAATTTGAGCACTAAACAGAATATAACCCTAACGGAGTTGATGCAATAACTTCAAAAGTTTGAGCGGATGATCAAGGGGTCAACTATTGTGGAGGCCAACTTGGTTGAGGCATCTTCCTCCACACCCTCTCCAGGGAATGGAAAGAAGAAGCAAGGGGCCAAGAAGGAGAGTTCTTCAGTTCCACCAAACAAGGGCAAGAACTAGAAGAAGAAGAAGAAGAACCCGAATAAGCTCAAGTACTTTCATTACGGGAAGGTGGGGCACATGAAGAAGAATTGCAAAGACTACCTAGCCTCTAAAGGCAAAGGAGGTGAGTGTGATCTTTTGATTATGGAAGCATGTCTAGTTGAGGAATTTAGTGACAACTGGGTCATAGATTCTGGAGTAACTAATCATGTATGTGTTTCTCTGCAGGGGTTTAAGCAAACGAGAAGTCTTCTACATAACAGCTTCGCGTTGAGGATGGGCGATGGAACTCTAGTGTTGGCTGAAGTAGTGAGAGACATCCATCTTTATTTTGATAGTTATAGGAGTTTATTTTCGCGAGACTATTTTTATGTTCCTCAATTTAAGAGGAATCTTATTTCTGTTGCTTGTTTATTTAAGGATTCTTATTAAGTTTCTTTTAATAATAAAGTTGTGATTCGTAAAAATAAGTCTTTTATCTGTGATGGATGGATGCAAAATAATGTATATTTTATTAAACCTAAGGTGGATGCACTGCTAAACACTGAAGTTATTAATAACTCTAAAAGGCTTAAAACTTATCACTCTAATGAGACATATTTTTGGTATTTGCGACTTGGTCACATTAGCCTTAATAGGATACAGAGGTTGGTAAAGGATGGACCTTTAAATTCTTTAAAGGTTGGGTCTTTACCCCAATGTGAGTCTTATTTGGAGGGCAAAATGACCAAAAGACCATTTGGGTATAAGGGCAATAGGGTTAAAGAGGTTCTTGAACTTGTGCATAGTGATGTTTATAGTCCCATGAACATCAAGGAAAGAGGAGGGTATGAATATTACGTCACTATTATCGACGATTACTCAAGATATGGATATGTGTACCCGATGCACCATAAAAGTGAAACTTTTGAGAAATTCAGGGAGTTTCGGGCTGAAGTGAAAAAGCAATTGGGTAAACCCTTAAAGGCACTTTGATCCGATCAAGGTGGAGAATACCTTTCTGATGAGTTCACCAGATATTTAATAGAGAATGGGATTTTATCCCATTTGACTGCACCTGGCACTCCACAACAGAATGGTGTACCTAAGAGAAGAAATAGGACTTTGTTGGACATGGTACGGTCTATGATGAGTTATTCAACATTGCCTATATCTTTCTAGGGATATGCTTTACAAACTGCATGTTATCTTCTGAACAATGTGTCAACAAAGTGAGTTCTTAAAACTCCTCACAAGTTGTGGACGGGCAGGAGGACATCTTTGAACCATATTCCCATATGGGGATGTATAGCACATGTCCTGGACAAGGAAGTGAACAAGTTAGAAGCAAGTTCAGAAGTGTACATTTTTGTAGGTTATCCGAGAGGGACAAAAATGGGTTATTTCTATAACCCCAAGGAAAATATAGTCATGGTTTCAATGAATGCAACATTCCTTGATGAAAGTTACATGAACGACTTTATGCCTTGTAGCAAAGTGGTGCTTGATGAAATGTTGAGTGACTTGGTCATACTGACAGTTCCTTTGGAAACTAATCGAATCAGGGTAGAAAAGAAAACCCAACAACAACCTAAGGGGCTTCAGCGTAGTGGGAAGATTAGACATGAACCTGAGAGATTCATGGCTAATAGGGAGACCTTTTTGGCAGAATCTTTAGAACATGGCAAAGATCCTTATACTTACAAAGAAGCTATGGAGGATGTTGATGCAAACCTCTGGACATGAGCCATGAAATCTGAGACGGAATCTATGGATTTTAATCAAGCCGGGGAACTTGTAGATCTTCCTGATGGATTAAGCCCATTGGGTGTAAATGGGTCTACAAGAGAAAGAGAAATGCAGAAGGAAAGGTCAAAACCTATAAGGCTAGATTAGTGGCTGCTCTCGACTACGAGATCTGGCAATTGGATGTCAAGATGACATTCTTGAACGACCATCTTGAGGAAAGTATCTATATGGTACAACCAGGAGGCTTTAGGGCTAAGGGTCAAGAAGGGAAAGTCTGCAAGTTGCTAAAATCTATTTATGGATTAAAGCAAGCTTCCCATTCTTAGAACAAAAGATTTGACCAAGTGATCAAGACTTTTGAATTCCAACAGAATATGGATGAACTTTGCGTTTATAAGCATATTCAAGATGGGAAAGTAGTTTTTCTACTATTATATGTTGATAACATTCTACTCATTGGCAATGATGTAGGGGCTTTGCCATCAGTCAAAGTTTGGCTTACCAAACGGTTTGACATGAAGGACTTAGGAGAAGCTAAGTATGTTCTGGGCATTCAGATCTTAAGCGATCAAAAGAACAAAATGATAGCTCTCTCTTAAGCTTCATCCATAGATAAAATTCTTGAGAAGTATGCAATGCAGAATTCCAAGAAATGTGGGCAACCATCTAGGTCTGGAATTACTCTTTCCAATAGTGATTGTCCCAAGACATCTGAGGAAAGAGAATACATGGCAAAGGTACCTTATGCTTCGGCGGTTGGGAGCCTCAGGTATGTAATTCTTTGCACTCGACCGGACATTTGTCATGCTGTCGGGATTGTAAGTCGATATCAGTCAAATCCAGGACCCAACCACTAGGTTGCAGTTAAACATATATTCAAGTATCTTCGGAGGACTAGAAATTATATGCTGGTATATTTCGGGGAGGATTTGACACCTCTAAGATATGCAGATTTGAATTTTTATTGCTGTTTGGCTTCTAAGAAATCAACTTTAGGTTCTGTCTTTACTCTGGGAGGTGGTTCCGTCGTTTGGAGGAGTGTCAAGTAAACTTGCACTGCTGACTCAACGATGGAAGCCGAGTATGTGGTAGCTAGTGATGCTTCAAAAGAAGCAGTGTGGCTCCACAAATTTCTAATGGATCTTGAAGTAGTTCCTAGTATGGATAAGCCATTGAGACTGTACTGTGATAACAGTGTGGCAATAGCTAACACCAAAGAACCAAGATATCAGAAAATGAGTGAGCATATAGACAGGAAGTATGATGTGATAAGGAGCTTTATTAAAGAAGGGTATGTGGAAATATGCAAGATTGCGTTGGAGGACAATATGGCTGACCCGTTCACGAAGGCCCTATTGGCTAAGGCCTTTGAGAAGCATGTCGAGGCTATGGGGATGCGTAGCATGTCACATTTACTCACTTAAGTGCAAGTGGGAGATTGTTAGCGTTTATGCCCTTAGGAATAAATGTAACAATGTTCTTTGAGACACTTTGACTATTAATAAAGATTGATTTATTTCATATATCAATGTATTGTCCTCTTTATGTTCATATTAGTTGAATGTATGATAAGCAAACTGAAAGTCTGAGACTGTCATTCTAAATCTTTAGGTCATGCATGTAATGAGAAGAACATGCGGAAGACAAAAATCTAAAGATGATAGTCTAAATCATATCCACAATCAAAGGAGTAAAGTTGGACACTTTATTCATGTCAATATTGTTATGTTGTCTACTTTCTAACGGAGACGGCTTGTCTTGGTTGTCAGAGGGGGGACTCCATGGGTAGAGACATTGATATAGTTTTTAGTGGTGAAATCTATATTGGGTTGGACCCAAATTGAATTGTTTTAATTAATAATTCTGTTTGTATAAAATAATTCACTTTTGACGAATTATATGTTGTCATCTTAATCCTGAGATGGATAATGAACCCGTATGCTTGACTTGTATCCTTTGATGTAGCAAAATGACATCTTGACATTATGTAAAGGTACGCTTACCGGTACATTGGGGGTATGACTCGTGTATGAGCAAAATGACATCATAGATAGTGGAATCTATAGCTCCTACAAAGAGTCAATTATATCCTCTTATGCATAATTTGTGGATTGGAAAATACGAGTGCTTGTCCATTAGACTACTTTGTGTTATCTAATAGTTTACTATTTGTAATGGTATAAATAGTGTTTTTCCGATGGAATGGTGACAGAACATAAGATAAATGTAATCGGGAAGGTAAAATGGAATTTGAAGGTAAAATGGAATTTGACCTCAAGTCGATTATGGATATCCTATGGGGATGATACATTAATATATTAAGTTATGGACGAGAGCTATTCAGGGCTTTGTAAATATGCTATATAAATCGAGAGTACAGCTCTAGGCTTTTAGTGGAGTAGCGCTAGAGTTTTATAATCATGAGACGGACTTGTTGGTTTACAAATAGCGTTGTGATTATAGGAGCTTGATTTATATATGTCCATCAGATCCCTTTACTAGCTCACATGATTTCTTGTAACGATATGGTGTATTTCCTACATATTAGTAACTTGTGTTATTTCCGTAAAAGAGGTTCAAAGTTAATGTGAGATTGGTTAATTAATTTATGAGTGATTTATCGCGTGAATTAATTGATAAATTAATTCTAGATAAATTGGTTAAATTAATGTTTCGGGTTGTTTAGTTCATGAGTAATTTATTAAGTGGATTAATTGTTAAATTAATTCTAGATAAATTGGTTGAATTATTGTTTTAAGAGCTATTTAATATGGAAAGACTATTATATGACTGTATTGATCAGACAACTTCACTATTGGGTTGTTTGAATCAAAATTGAGGCTCTGTGCAAGTTTCCCGTGTTGAAAAACTAAGAAAACAAGTTTCCCTAGTTCAGACAGGTCGACCGGTGAGTTATAACTTCTTTGTCACCAGTCAACCGGTTGTAACGTGTAGCGCATGTTGACGTGGTGAAACTGACTCTGTAAGCGAGATAAACTTTGAAAAACCTAATGGTTACGGAAATATGACTTCCTAAACACTATAAATAGCCCATTAAGTCACATTATTCTTTAGATAACTAGAGAGACTTTTTGGGGGCTATTGGCAAAAGATTCTAAGAGGAAAAATTGTTTAATTCCCAAGAACGATTTTTCCTTTGGCTTTCTTGTGGTTGGAAGGAGCCAAGAGGAGATTGAACGACGTGTGCCCACCACAAAAAACCCTCGAAAAAAACCCCCAAGAAAACCCCCAAAAAAACACCTAGAAAAAACCCGAAAAAAACCTAAAAAAAAAACACCCCAAAAAAACCCAAAAAAAAAAACCCGACAAAAACATCAAAAAGA